AGTAATAGCAATAATATTTTAAGAACAACTTTGAGTGAATAAGTCATTTTGACTATTAGAAATACCCAAATGAACTACAAAGGACCTGTGAAGGAAGATGTTATCTGCATCCAGAGACAGAACTGATATATAGAAGCATGTATAGAATGGTTTTACATATGTATGTATGTGTATGTATGTATACACACATTCACATACATACATATTTGTGTCTTATATTTGTGTCCATCTCTAGGATAGGGTTAGGGGAGGGAGAGAAGAAAAAAGAGAAATTTACATGATAACTTTATTATATATTTAAAAGAAATAGCAAGTTGTACACAATAAACTTGCCATTTCATGGGCAATCATCTTTTTAAAATTATACAATGTTATGGAAATGCTTGTTTTATTCTATAAATCAAAAATAAGATAAAAATGTTGGTAGGCAAAAAAAAATGTATGACAAAATTGGGTAGGTGGGAAATACCTTCATAACAACTAATTTACAAACAAATATTCGAATACAATCCATTTCTAAATTGGGGACTTTCTATACTTCTTTCCTAGTCCCCAGATTTCCAGAACAATGAAATCTAGTATTGTACCCTCTCATCAAGTACCCTCTCATCCAAGCTGTGTTCACAGTCAAGCACCCTGGACCCAACGGGGAAGGTACCCATTAAAGGCTTACGTAGCCCAATGATGCCTTTCCTCATATTGGTCCCTTGCCTGGAATGCCCTCCCTTCTCACATCCACTTCAAATCAGACCCACTCTTCAAGACCTGCCTCCTCCAGGAAGTTTTCTTAACTACTCCACCATTTATAATCTGTACCCCACACTTTGGCATTTACTTATATACTGGTTTGTTTATTCTTGCTTCCTGTGGGTTAGTCTTGGGAAGGAAGCATGTCTTCATCATAATTCCCAGAGTTTTATAAACAGAATGTAGAGGACATGGTGCTCAGCAAATACCTAATGACTGTTTGAACCAGCTGTAGAATTCAGGGAAGAATAGAATTAATGTGGGCCAGAGTAGGAGCAAGGAAGAAAAAAGTATTATACTTGAAGTCAGGAAGCACTGAGTTCAAATTCCACCCCAATGGCACTCGCTAGCTGCGTGACCATGGTCACTTCACTTCTCTGAGCCATGAACTCTTCATTTGTAATATCTACCTTACAGGGTGTTGAAAGGGTCAAATGAGAACACACAGCATGAATAAATGAATGAAGAAGCATTTAGTGATAAATGCTAGTGATAAATTAAATATGTAGTATGTGCCAAGCACTGTGCTAGGTGCTAATGAAGCACATAGAAAGCCTCTCTGCTCTCAAGAAGAGCACATTCTAATGTGATGAAATAAAATGATTTTTTATGAGATGAGTGGATGAGATGAGATGAAATAAATTAAAATGAAGTAAAATGAGATGAATTTATGAAATGAAATGAGATTAAATAAAAGAAAGTTTAGCTAAAGGGCAAATAGAAATACTTGGAAGTCCTCAGGGTGCAGATGGGTAATAGTGCCCAGGCATCATTGGGGTATATAAGCAGATCGGATGAGAGTGCCTGGGCAGTGCAGGGTACAAAGGCAGGACAGGTGATAAGGCTCAGTATCCCTCCATCTCATTGGAGGGAAGAGAGTACCCTCTCATCCAAGCTGTGTTCACAGTCAAGCACCCTAGACCCAATGGGGAAGGTGCCCCCAGTGGTAGCAAGCCTTCCAATATTCCAGCCTTCCTAGATGTATTCTGAGATGGCCCAGAGCCAGCAGAGGGTGTGAAAGAGGAGGGTGAGGTGAGAAGGGCACCCCTGGTGGATCTGGAGTCCAAGTCCCCACCTCTAATGTTTATTACTCTATGATCTTGGACGGGTTCCTTAACCTTCTTAGTCCTCAGTTCTCTCATTTATTAAATATAAGAATTTGAATAAATGACCACTGAGGTCCCTTTCATCTGAAGAAAGGATGGTCTGGGAGGCTGGCAGGTGATGGAATCTATGGTCCTAAACAAGTAATTATCTGAGTCATTTTCAAGAAAGGGCTGAGCTAGGGCTAAAGGAGATGGGGGTAAAGAGATAAATAGGCCACCAATGAGTCCGATGGAATCTTGCAAAAGAATGTCCTTTGAGGACTGATCTGTGGGTAGTCCTAGGATGTGCTGGGAATGCACATTTTCTTTTGTAACTGGATTGTGTTTTACCTGCTGGCAAAGAGCAACAATTCACTTGTAGCACAGGGAGAAAGCTGCCAAAAATCAAAAGAAACCAGCAAGCACAAACCTATAACCTATGCCTGCTTCCCCATCCCCTAGACAGAAAGCCCAGAAAGAGAGCACTCTAAATTCTGCTCGGCAGTTTTCTAGAAGATGATTTTGTGGTAAATTATTGAACGTTTCATTTAAGCTTCATAAATAAGAAAACTCAGACCAAAATGTTATATGTAAGATCAGTTTGGTAACATATAATTCCTATCTCCCTTGCTCTCTTTGTCACCCTTCATCTCTGTCTCACAATTCCTTCTTTATTACAGGCAATTGAAGGTCTCAATCAGTTGCCTGAGAGAACTAGTTTATGTCTCAAAGGTAATCTAATTTCTGCAGCCATGGGGCTTGTCTAGCATATAGACAAGAGACAATTGTACTCCATATGTGCATGCTAGGGCACTAGACTTATCTGATGCAAAAAAAGGGAACTCTGCCCAAGCCAAGAGATGTGGACTTCATTGACACCCAGACGCCATAAATCATGGGTTTGAGCAGGCACTCAACAATTCAGGCTTCAATGAGCCAAAACCAAAGGGAAGATCGGCATATGTGCCATGTATACACTAGTGCATTTGATACACATCTTCAGATGGTGATTTTTCCAATGGGTGCTCAACACCCCTGCATACAAATAAGTGGTCATAATGGAGGCAATATGGTGTTGGAGAAATCACTGAACTGAAAGACTCAGGTTCTAAGACCAGCATCATCCTTTGGTAGTTGTGTATGTGTGTGTGTGTGTGTGTGTGTGTGTGTGTGTGTGCATGTTTGAGAGAGAGAGAGAGAGAGAGAATCTTGAGTAGGTCATTTGATTTCTCTATGCCTCAATTTCCTTCTCTATAAAATGGGTATAATACTGTCCTCCCCACCTACTTCACAACATGGCTTCCTACCAAATGAGAGAGTAAATTACAATGATTGTCATGTGTGTTTCAAGGAAATAGTTCTCCTGGAAGATGCCCTGTTGTCAGTTCACATCAAAGATCTCAGGCTAAATTGTCTTACCCAACATTCAAGGGAGTGTGCTTTAAAGACTCGTCTTTGACCTCACACTTAGACTCCTTCATCTTGAACCCACTCCATTTCTCAAGTCTATCCACAGGTCAAGCAAGGGATCCTTTCTTCCAGTTTGACCCTATTCCACATGTCAGTGAAGGGTCAGAGGACAACAGGAAGAAGTCCCTTCCCCCAAAAAAATTGCCAATTATGATGTATCATGGATAAGTTAGGGGTTCTTCACTTTTTCTGTAGGTGACCAACACTGTTGCAGAGGTTCCTGGGTAACATCTAATATCTTTCCTGAGTAAATTTCTAAAATAAGTAAAATAAGATGATTAATGGATTGTAGCCAGAAAAGGAGTTCAGGGCAGAGAAAGGAAAAATCCAATTAACTCCTACATAGACAGGCATATGCAAAACCAGACCAATTCATTTCAATCCAATTCAGCAAATATTCATGATGTGCCTATTGTGTGCCAGGCACTGTGCTAGTCCTTTGGGATAAAAAGCCAAAAAAAAAACCAGTCCCTGTCCTCAAAGTGGGGGAAGGTAGACTATGTACATAAAGTAAATGAATGCAAACTGTATACCAAGCATTTCCAAAAGGGGGAAAATGCTAATAAACTCGATGATCAGGGAAGGGCTGAGTATAAAAGGAAGTCATGAGGTTTTCCTTGAAGGAAGGAACCAAGTGATTCTGTGAAACAGAGTGGAGAATAGAGTGCATTCCAGACAGGGAGGACCACTTGCATAAAGGCAAAGGAGCAAGATATAGAATGTCACGTAAAGACAACAGTTAGCAGGCTGTTTGTCTAGAACAGAGAATGCATGAAGGTGAGGGATTTGAAATAAAATGGGAAATATAGGTGGGAGTCAGATTGCCAAGGGCATTTAATGATAGACTGAGATGTTCCCTATTGGGAATAGGTAACCATTGAAGAGCTTCAGGTAGGAGAGTGACATATTCATACCAACTTTTTAGGGCTATCGATTTGCCAGCTGCTTAGAAGATGGGTTAGAAAAGGGAGATCCTGAAAAAAGGCAGACTGATTAGAAGGCTATTGCAATAGTCCTAGGGAGAAATGATGAGGTCCAAGCTAGTATACAGATTGTATGAGCGGAGAAAAGGGGAGAGATACTGTGCAGGACTAAAAAGATTTGACAACTGAATAACTAGGAAAGATTATGAGAGAAGGAAGAGTTAAGGATGACTAGGAAATGTGAAACTGGGAAGGGCAGAAAGGACCTTGGAATCTACTGAATCCAACCCCCTCCTTTTATGGATACGGAACCTGAGCCCCGCAGAGATTAGGTGTCTTGCCTAAAGACACAGGTGGTATCCATCAGAGGTGGGATTTCAACTCAGGTTCTCTGATTCTGGAGGCAATACTCTTTCCACTGTACTGTGAATGATGGTACTATCAATAAATATGGGAAGGGCTGGAGATATGGGCTTGGAGGTGAGGGACTGAGGAAATACAATCAATTCCACATGTTAGACATGTTGAGTTTGAGATGCCTACAGAAATTCCAGCAGAAAATTGGAAATAAAAACCTGGAATTCAGGAGAGATGAGGACTAGATATGTGGATTTGAGAATCAACTACACAGAGGTGGTAGCTGAACCCACAATTGCTGATGAAATCACCAAGGGAGAAAGTGTAGAGAGAAAGAAGGGAAGAAAGAGCCCAAGATACCCAGCTTTGGGGGCACTTCTCAAGAAATATAACCTTCACTGCTTGTGTCTGGTGATAGATCTCGTGCCAGGGACAGAATATGGTGTCGGGATATCAGCGATCATGGGCAGTCAACAGAGTGTACCAGCCACCATGAATGCCAGGACTGGTAAGTCAGGAGGGTCGCAAAGGTATTGCCACAAAGGAATCAATTTGTATAGATTGATAGATGAGTACTAATGCCCACTCATGTGACCATAAGCACAATGCAAGAATCAGCTGAAGCCAACTTGACTGCTTCCAGTGGCATGGAAAGATTTGTCTTATAGGACAGTCAATCAGAAAGCAGTACCCCCAAATGTCCTTTTCAACTCTCAGTTACTAACACCTGGGTTGGGCATGGGGAGGGGCATGGTGGCAGAGAAGGAATAACCCAATGAAGTATTTAAATGTGTTTATCAAATGAAGTGATGTTGAGGTCTGTCAGCCAGGGTGAAGTCCCAACCCTATTCCTCAAAGATCTGGCTGGTGTTAGCCAGGTTCTAAAGGAGTTATTCAATCCAACAAGATTTTGCAAAGCACCACTTATATGCCAGGCATTATGCTAGATACTGGTGATACAAAGACAAAAATGAGATTGCCCCTGCCTCCAAGGAACTTACATTTCTACTGGGGGGAAAAGCGCCAGTCACAAATGAAAATGAAAGAGAGAGGACAGAGATTTCAAACAGGCACAGGTGGGGAACGAAACCAGCATTGGATTGGAGCTGTGCCTCCCCCATAATGCTAAGTTTCAGTGTAGTAAATCTGTAGTAGTGAGCTGACCCTGCCAGTTTCCTGAATTCCTATCAGTGAACAGGTTCTGGAATCATCACCAAGGTTCAGGTCCAGACCAAGACAACCTGGAAGGATTACATAATCCAAACTGCAACGAGAAGTCCCATCGAATTCTACACATCCCAGAGACTTCATCTAGAGACCAGGCTAATCCAGGGCCACCCCAGGGACTCAGGTATACACATTCAGGTTAGGGATAGGGCTCCTTGTTCAGCCCCTGCCCCCTTTTTGGCCTATGAAACCCCTCCCATATGAGATGAATCCAAAATTAATCTAAGTGACCCAGGGTCTTCTGCCTCAGGATTCCTGAACCTGCTTCAGTCCAGTCTTGTATCACTGTGGCCTGCCTAGGCTCCAAGTGACTGGAGTTGGGATTGGGGGTTGGAGGATGGCAAAAGTGAATTCACCCAAATAGTCACCTCACTACTTAATGTTAGCAAGGTTTTATATTAGGCAGCTTGCTCAGAGACAGAGACAGATAGGAAGAGAGAGGCAGAAAGAAAATGAATGGGAACCGGGAAGATTCATCACGTTTAAAAAAGACTGAGAATCTGTAAGCAGCCTCCTCCCAGGGGTGGATATATTCCAGGGGTGTCTGAGCTAATAATACCTTTCAGCTGATTGTCCATCTGTTTGCAAGCAGCTGGCCATCTTTCAAAATGCAAGGTGCTAACAAAGTGTGAGATCATTGTCAGCAGTGACAGGCTAATCCTGGTGGCTGGCAGCCCTATCTGATTACCTCGAGCCCCCAGGGGCACCTAGGCTAAATCCAGGCTCTGCTCAGAGCTAGGCTATGCTTCCTAGGGCTGCTTTTCCACAAACTGCTTCTGCTGAATCTGATGAAGATCCCACCTTTCGCCCACAGATCTGGACAATCCCCGTGACCTCATGGTGACAGCCTCTTCCGAGACCTCCATCTCCCTCATCTGGACCAAGGCCAGTGGTCCCATTGACCACTATAGAATCACCTTCACACCTGCATCTGGAATGTCCTCAGAGATCACTGTACCCAAAGACAGGACCTCATACACACTTACAGACCTGGAGCCTGGTACTGAATACATCATATCAGTTACTGCAGAAAGGGGAAGACAACAGAGCTTGGAATCCACAGTGGATGCCTTCACAGGTACTGGGACTGCAGAAACACCTAACTCAGTTCAGTTTTGACTATTAGTGATTTGGCTCATATCCCCTCCCAAAGGCATGAAAATCACAGGTCTTAGGACTGGGAGGGATAGTGAGAGCTCCAGCCCCTACCTACATATCTCTACCATTCCAGGGAGCAAAACATCTCTTTTGTTTTTAAAGTCCATCATGCTTTTGCAGTTGAAATAGACTTAACATACATTCTAATACATATTTCAAGGAGAAAAGAGAAGAATGAGAAAGGGAAGGGGGGATGAATAGGAAGGAGAGAAAGATGAAGGGAAAGGTGGAGGAGACAGAGAGAGAAAGAGACAGAGAAGACAGAGACAGACAGAGACAGACAGAGAGAGGAGCTCATGGGTAAAACTGAATCTTTTGGAGGTAGTTTACAGGAAAGAGAAAAGAAGGTGAAGGGAAAGGGAGGAGAAAGAAGAGAACGGAGAAGGAGAAGAGAAAAGGAAGACATAGGAAAGGGAAAAGAGGGAGAGAAGGAAAAAAGGAGAGGAGAAAATGGGAAATGGGAAAAGAGGGGGAGAAGGAGGGAATGCCAGAACACGTGGTAAGAATAGAAAAGCAGCAAGAAAAGTTAGTACTAAGAAAAGTAGCAGCCCAAAGAAGCTGGCTTTGTTTCACTCCTTTCTAATAGGCATTCATGTCTTCCAAAGTAATTAGGTATCCTTGAAAAAAGAGATGCCCTCTACTATACTACACTGGCTTAAAGCAAGAGGTACACAAGAAAGGGAGCCTTGACCCAGTCTTCTCCTAGTCCTATCCAGGCATCTCCCTTGACTAAAAATACCTTGCACTAGAATAGCATTGGAATTACCCAATGCTAAATACTATTGGTCACAGAGGAATAAAATCAGACCCTGACATCATTCCTGCCCGTGAGCCTATGCCCATTCCTCTGTGGGGAAGTGCAGTCTTGAGGAATACCTGAGGGGGCCAACAGACTCTTAGTCCCTATTTGTAAGGTTTTTCTAGAATTCCAGACCATGTTACTTTGTAGGCAGTAGGCTATGGAACATCTGCTGTATTGCTGGTACCTAAGTCATCAAATTTCCTTTTGGTTTATAGGTTTCCGTCCCATCACCCATCTACACTTCTCTCATGTCACTTCCTCCAGTGTAAACATCACCTGGAGTGACCCATCCCCTCCAGCTGACAGGCTCCTGCTGAATTACAATCCCCGAGATAAGGAAGAAGAGGCTTTGGAAGTCTCACTGGATGCTACCAAAAGGCATGCCATTCTGATGGGTCTGCAACCAGCCACCGAGTATATTGTGAACCTGGTGGCTGTTCATGGGATGGTGACCTCTGAGCCAATTGTGGGCTCTATCACCACAGGTAAAGTCAAGAGAGAGTAAGGGGAGGAGAAAAGTAGAAGTAAGTCAGCAGTAAAAAAAAAATTAGGGAAGTGGGTTTGCTCTGGGCTTATGCTCTGAAATCTCTATGGTCACAAATCTTCTCAAACTAAACCAATGATGGCAGTGAAAGGGCTACCACAATCAAGCAAGCAAGCATTTATTAAGCACCAAACACCATGCTAGATGCTGAGGGGGGGAAAACAAAAATAACCCTACCCTGAAGGAGCTTACATTCTGCCAAACATCAGCAGAGTATAGGGTATTGTAGAAGCAACAAAACACTGCCCATCTTGCTCCCAATTCAAAGATTTCTCTTCTGTGAACTTTAGAGGTTCCATAATGTAATGTCTTATCTTGTTGAAGTTAACCTTCTACCAGCTTCCCCTTTTTCCCATTGGCCATTATCCTAAGCCAACTTGACTTCATGCGGTTTGGCTTCCTCCCATGTAATACATTCCTTGTCAAATTACTTACTGCCTATGTGACCCTGACCAAATCATTGAGTATCTCTTGGTCTCAGTTTCCTCATCTATAAGATAAGAGGACCTCCATCTATCTGTAAGATAGAAGACCTCCAAGTCCACTTTAGGCTCTAATGTCTATGACTCCATGATCTGATGTACAGCTTTCATCACATCTTCAAAATCTTAGGTAAGGCTCCCCTGGAGTGATCCTTTAGACCAATGTGTACCTGTGATGGCAGAGATGGCATTCACACAGTTGAGAACTTCTCCATGCTACTTTCAAATGTTTTCCCCTGTTAGAATGTGAACTGCTTAAGAACAGGGATTGTCTTGCTTCTATTTCCAGTTAGTACAGTTCTTTGGACATTGTAAGAACTTGATAAATGTGTCTTTTATTAATTCATTCATTCCTACCACCAACATTATTGGCTCCTAGACCAGACAGGAAAGGAAAGGGACTTGGTGGTGGGGGTGGTTGTTATTTTTCCAAACCTGTGCCTTTTTTTTCTCACCCTGCCAATCTAGGGATCGATCCTCCTAAAGATATAGTAATAAGTAATGTTACCAAGGACTCTGTGACTGTCTCCTGGAGCCCTCCCATTGCGTCTTTTGACTACTATCGAGTATCCTATCGACCCACACAAGGTAAAGCAGTAGTGACTAATTTATTCAGCCTAACAAAAATTAATATATGGCATAGGACCATACAAGAATGCTGGCATGCTTGGGTTCAAATATTGGCTCTGCTATTTACTTCATATGTGACCTTGGGCCAAGTCACTAAACCCTCTGGGCCTCAGCTTCCCCATCTTGTAACACAAAGAATTTGGACTAGATGACCTCTAAGGTCTCTTTCAGTTCTAATTCTATGAACTATGAACTTAAATGGTCTTTGGAGTTGAGTAAGAATCTTTATAGAAGAGTAATTACAAACCAGAGGGCAACAGACTCATCCCTGCCTGCTTTTTTGTTTTCCTTTCCATGGTAATTTCTGATGTTCCATTATATTAAATAGTTTGATGATTCAATTCAATGCAATTTGAGAAGAAAAAAACAGTGGATCCCATTAAAATCTTGCCTACTTACCACCCCACTTCTGGAACAAAATGTAATGCAGTTCATTAAAATCTACGGGAAAAATTTAGTTGTTCACCAGCAGTACTAACTAAGCCCTATTGTGTGACATTGAGAAGTAATTTGTCCTGCTAAGAGGAGATGCATAAACCAGGATTCAAACTTTAGGTGGGAGACTGGACCGGGTGACTTCAGCTGCCTCATCTTTATAAAAGAGCCCAGGGTGGGCAGTTTAGGGGTGATAGTAGACCTCAAAAATCCATTTCTAAATTTCTAAAATTCCCTGGTTCTTCAATTTGACAATTCCTCCCAAATCTGGCATTCTATGATTCTATGGAAGTTAAGATGAGGGAATAAAGCCAAAGACCTAGAACACCAGGGGATGTCTTCAGGAATAGCAAAGGTGCCTTTATACTAAAACAATTGGCATGGTAGCCATGTAGCCTCTGCCACACTGGACAAGCTGCCAATCAAAGGAAGCTGGCATCGGGCTCTGCACATTCATCACGTGCAGCTCTTGCCAAAACCTGGTTCGTGATGAGATGCAGTGAATAATCACACCCATGATGGGGTGGGGGGAGGAGTGATGGGAATGGAGTTTGCCAGAACATCCCCTCCCATGAAATGTCAGGATAATTTTTGCAGCCATGCCTTTAGATATTAACCTGGGGCAAAGGAGGAGATGAGAAGGTGCCTTGGAAGTTGCCATCTCATAGACAGACCAACTAGCGTCTTTATTTTTTTTAACATCTTGATTTGGAGGAAACTTGAATCTCACTAACTCCTTCACCCCTAACTTGATTATACCCAAACAGACATTTGGATCTCCCATTCATGCTAGACATTAGGTTTCCTGAAACATGGAAGTCACTGCTGAAATTTAACAGTGAGTTTTTATTCTTCCCAGTGGGGAGATTGGACAGCTCAGTGGTGCCCAATACAGTTAACGAATTCACCGTCACCAGCCTGTATCCAGCTACAGAATATGAAATCAGCCTGAACAGCGTTCGAGGCCGAGAGGAGAGTGAGCGCATCTGCACACTTGTGCATACAGGTAGGATGACTCTCACACAGGCACTGGCCCCATGCACTGATCTTCCCTTCCAACAGTATTCTCCACTTAACAACAGAGCAGAATGAAAAGAATGTTGGGCTAGGATAAAGGAGACCTGGGTTCTAGTCCTAGCTCCATCAAGAAAATTTGGGGGGAGTGATTTAAACTGTCTGCAACCTCAGTTTTCTCACCCATGAAATGGGGATAATGGGATCTGCCATGCATAGCTGTTGCAAAGATTAAACAAGATCACATATATTAAAGCACTTTAAAAACTGTAAAGCATTTTACAGATGTAATCTATTGCCAGCTTAAGCTTGCACTGCTCTGGAAGGGCCCCAGCTGTCTACTTCTTCAGCTGTGCCCTAGCCCCTGAATTCCCCCAGTAATAGAAAGTAAGAGAGGCAAAAAGTGAAGTCCTTTGTCCCTAAAACAGAGAACCCTGGGTCAACAGTGAGTGATCCCATTTTTGTAGAGGCAGGAATGCACTAGAGCCATTGTTACGTTTTCAGTATGAGCATTTATACCTCAGAAATAAGCAAATGCTGCAGATCATGTCCTGATTTATTGTCTTGTTGATTATCTTGACTTAAGAAAATGATGGAGATGTTAATGATGCTGATTGAACTTAGAATGTGCCATGCATTCTTTTTCTTTTTAAAAGAGCCAGTTGTTAAACACTTAGCAGCACATTGAATAATGCTAGGTGATTCATAATTTCTTTAAAACTCCTCTTGTCTCTCTGTAAAATTATAGTATCAGTCACTCACTGCCTAGGAGGTCCTGGAATTATTTTTTTTAAATAAGTTTTATTGATGACATGGTAGAAATAGGACTGGACCTAGAGTCAAGAACACCTGAGTTTAAATCTTGTCTCAGGTATTTACTGTGTGTTCCTGGGGAATTCACTTAACTTCTCTGGGACTTATTTTCCTCATTTACTATAATAAGAGACTTCATTTATAGAATAAGAATGAGAGAGAATGGTGTCTTCTAAGATTCCTTGCAATTCTAAGTTGATTGTCCTCTGTCTTTTATTTCCACATTGAAGTCTCTTCCCCAGGTTGACCCGTCTTTTGTGACAAAGGAAAACAATTAAGTAGAAACATCTAACACAGAAACCCTGTCTGATGCTGTCTATAATATTCTGTCCTATTAGACCACTCCCACAAACACATTTCTGCCTCAAGGCAGTAGATACATTTCATTATCTCTTCTCCAGCACCTTCACTGATTTTCCCATTACTCAGAGTTAAAAGTGTCAAGAATTTCAGAGGGCATTTACACCAAGCCTTAGCTTCTGATGTGGAAAGTGCTGTCTTACAAAGCATGAAGCATACGGAACCTTTCTAAGCTTCACTGATGGAAGGAAGTTGCTGTATAAACACTGAATCATCCCCAGACAGGTGAGAATCCATCCTATTTTTAAAGCACTCCAGAGAAGGAAACTCCACAGTCTCCCTTGGCAACTCACTGCAGTACTAACTGTCTGTGTTGGGAAAGCCCCCTATAAACTGTGACCTACATCTCTCAGAGGGTAGCTGCATTTGTCTTTGTTCACTTATGATGTAGTGGAAAGAGCATGAGATTGGAATTCCAAGTTCAAATCCTGGCTCGGATGCCTATTAATTGTATTCCAGTCATTTAACTCTTCTGGGCCTCAGTTTCCTCTTCAATAAAATGAGGAGGTTGGAGCAGACAACCTTTGAGGTCCTTTCCAGCTCTCTTATTTGCAGAATAAATATACAGCTAAGTCCCCTTTAGCACAAATAACCTCATATGATTCAACTTAATGCTGCATATTTCCATTGTGTTATGACCGATTAGCATATTTTACATAATTATAACTACAAATAGCACTAATTTGAATACATGGACACTTCAGAAGATTTATTGTTTGCACTAATTATTTGCCTGACGAGATCTTGTGTAGGATCAAAAGAAATAATGTATGCAAAGTGCTTTACAATCCTACAAGAGCTCCATAAACATCAATTGCTATTATTATTATTATTCATGGAGGTAAAAAACAGCTAGCCAGTCTATTTTTAAAAAATTTTTACTTGAAGGGCAAGACTCAGTTTCCTCTTCAGCCTTAGACCAGCTAGTCCACTTCATTAGCCCTCCCTGTCAGGTCCCTGTGCAAGCACACCCTGATTCACTAAGTATTCAGTCATCCTAGCCCAGAGTAGAGCAACACCGTCCAGTGGAAATAACACTGGAGGTAGTCAGAAATCCTGAGCTTGAATCCTAATCATACTACTACTATTATTACTATGAATAATAATATCTAACATTTATAATATGTATTAAGATTCACAAAACACTTTTACATATTTTATCATTTAATCCTCACAACAAGCCTGAGAGATAAATGCTATTATTATCTCCATTTTACAGATGAGGAAACTGAGGCTCACAGAGATGAAGAGACTCACCCAGGGTCACACAGCTAGTAAGTGTCCAAGAGAGGTTTTGAACACGTCTTTCTCATTCCAGGTCCAACACTCTATCTACTACACCACTAGCTAGATGTCTTCACATTAATGCTAACATTCATATGGCACTTTAAACATTTAATTTTTAAATATAATTTAAAAATTAATAAATAATATTTCATTCAACAAACAAATAATTAGGCAAATTAAATTTAAGCATTTGCAAAGCACTTTATATGTTATACCTCTTTTTGGTCCTCATAACAACCCTAGGACACCGGTACTATTATTACTTCTGGTCTACAGATGAAAAAACTGAGGTTCATAATGACTGTGACTGAGTTGCCCAGGGTCACACAGCTAGTAAGTATCTGAAGTGGTATTTGAACTTAGATCTTCCAGGGTCTGGGTTCGGTGCTCTATCCACTAATAACATTGCTTTCCCTAACTTCCTAGTTGTGTTAACTTGGGTAAGTCAGTCACACTGAATCTCTATTTCCTCCTCAACCAAGTTAGAATAATTCTGACACCACTCACCTCACAGAATTGCTATGAGGATCAGATGTCTGTAAAGTACTTTGTAATATTTATATAGCATAGCTCTATGTAAGTACCTTTTATAGCATTTGTAATATATTATAATATGCCATATACACTTATATAACATGTACCCTATGTTATTTATTATCTCATATTCCTATATACTATGCATGCCATATTATGTTTAATATGTGGTCTACACATGATATAAGCAATCCAATAAGCAATTTTTTTTGGCTGGGCAATGGAGTTAAGTGACTTGCCCAGGGTCACACAGCTAGTAAGTATTAAGTGTCTGAGGCTGGATTTGAACTCAGGTCCTCGTGACTCCAGGGCTGGTGCTCTATCTACTGTGCCACCTAGCTGCCCCACAGTAAGCATTTATTAAGTACCTACTATTAGGCAGATGGTATAGCAGAAACAGATCTGACACCGGAATCAGAGGACCTGACTTTAAACCCTACCATTGATACATATTACCTGTGTGACTCGGGCCAACTGACTGAACCTCCTTGGGCTTCTGTTCCATCATCTGGAAAATAAGAAAGCTGGGCTAGCTGGTGTCCAGCTCTGGGTCTATGCTCCTACTTGCAGATCACTAGGCATGATTATTTAAGCCTGTTCTGACTAACCTTAGCAGCTGCCCAAGGCAATCTGTCTAGCCCAGACCATCTGTCTTTCCATCTTCCCTGTAATCACAGTGAATGGGAAAAAGGTGGGGTTCCCTCAGCAGGCAGCAGCCTCAACCCCAACATTGGGGAATTTCCTTGCACCCACCACCAAGCCAGAGACAGTGCTCTTTGAGATGAATGAAAATCAACTTTCTGGATTCCTCATTACTTCTTCTCACATTGTCAACAGTCTAGGAAAAAACATCTGGAAGGCAATGAAAAGCTTCCTATAGGAACAATGAAGTCCTCTCCCAACAGGATCCTATAGATTTGCTAACCCTCACCTTACACTAGGCTCCCTTCCTGCCAGAAGCCTATCCATACTTTCTTGTAATTCCTCTTCTCATTCTGTTAAGCATAGTTCCTAGTTGTGTCAGTAAACCAAATTACACAGAGAGCATAGATTTCAAGCTAAAAGAGACTGTGGAGGTGATTGAGTCTAAGAACTGGTACCCAGTGAGCCGTGGAAAGCTGCTTCAGGCTGCGGAAGAATGTTAGAAATTTGGTCCATCACCAACTGGAAATATTTTCATCCTAGGAATTTTCAGAAGCTTCCTGGCTGAAAGCAAAGGGAGCAGGGGAAATCTCTGGTCAATCAAAAAACTTTTGTCTCTTTGTATACTTTTTAAAGTTTACATACTTCCAGTGTTCATCGGATCTCATCAGAGCAAGTGTGCTTTGTCCAATACAACTCCTCCGCACCCTCATCTTCCTTGGTTCTTACCTATACTCTCCCATGAATCTTGAATGGATTCTCTACCCAACATTACAGAACTTCCTTGAGGCTAAAGGTTCTTAACTTTTGAGGGGTCAAGGACCTCTTTGGCAGTCTGGTGAGGCATACGGACCTCTTCCCAGAATATTTTTTTAATTATTGAAGGAAATTCAAAATTTCAGTTAGAGGTTAATGAAAATAATTAATAATCAATAACAATAATATCATATCTAATGAAATAAAGATGTAATTTTTCCATTTCTGTTCATGAAACATCCTGAAATCTCTTCATAGATCCCTAGCCTGCACAACCTGCTCTTGGCCTTTTATAATTCTGTGGCCATCACTACATCACTCAGATGGCAAGCCCATCTGTTTAAACCACCAAGACATATAAATATGAACTAGCCTCATCATTATCATCACCACCACCACCATTATTGTGGCTATTAATTATGAAGAACAGGTGCCCCTAAAGCAGATGCTTAACGATAACCAATTAGAAATGGCCATTAACACTGACTCCCCTCACCATGGTTCAGGTACGCCTAGTCTGGGAGCCCATATTTTGCTTTTTTGGTGCATAAGGTCTATGATCTTAAATTTGTTGACAATGGGTCCCTCTCCAGCATATTTATCACATTTTGTCTCAGGGAGGTGACTTGGGCATTTACACAGATTGTTATGTATAGCGAGACAAGTATCTTATCTCTAAAATTTTAGTTTGGGATACTCAGCTTTTGTTTGGTGAGGAAATTATCTCTACCAATGTGGAGCTTCCTGGGACAATGAGACGTTAAGTGACTTTCCAGGACTCATTCAGCCAATGTGTCAGAGGCAGGGCCTCAAACTCAGGTGTTCCAGGCTACAAAGCCTGCTCTCTATCCACCACACCAGTGCTGTCAACTCAAATAGAAATGGGAAGCCATTGAACCTTACATGAAGATCCCTAAGGGGCCACATATGGACTAAGAAAGCCACAAATGAACATAACCTATATTTGATTTTTTTTTTTTAGGAATTGAGGTTAAGTGACTTGCCCAGGGTCACACAGCTAGTAAGTGTCAAGTGTTTGGTCTGAGGCTGGATTTGAACTCAGGTCCTCCTGACTTCAGGGCTGGTGCTCTATCCACTGCATGACCTAGCTGCCCCTATTTGATTATATTTTTAATTTATTTTGTTAAATATTTCCCAATTATATTTTAATCTGGACTCCACACAGAGTGCTCTGCAGATGTAGCTTGGAATATCTGACATCTCTGGGGCTGCACCGTTCTGCTTCTAACTAAAGCTAGCTTCTCTGTAAATACCACCCTTAATCTCACCTGGATCTCATTTGCAGTAGCCAGTGATGCAAAGTGCAGATTTAATAATCTCTCAAGATTTTCTGAGTGTTTGGGCAACCTAAAATTCTAGGTGTATCTAGGGTATGAGAATCGTAGGCAAACTCTGGAAGCTCAAGTAGAGAATAGAGAAAGACCAGTCATAGACATTGCTCCCAAGAATCATGGGTTGATTCAAATTAATTGAGCAAACAGTTATAAAGTGCCTACTGTGTGCTATGCTAGAAATTGGAGGTGCAAAGATGGGACAGGTTATGGTCCCTGCCCTTAAAGAATTGACAATCTGGTGGGAGAAATAAGACAAACACACAAATGACTATCAGAGTTAGAATATAAATAAGGAAATGTAGCTAAAAACTTTCTCACAGTTGGAGCTGTCCAAAATCCTAGAGAGCTTTCTCAGGGGGTAATAATGATGATAATAGCTACTAGAGAGGCAGTATGGGGTAAGGGGGAAAGGCTTAGATCTGGAGTTAGAGTATTCATGTTCCAATCCCAGTTCAGCCACTTGTGCAACCTTAGGCAAATCACTGTCCGAGCCTCACTCTCCTCATCTAGAAAATATGGGGTTGGACTAGATGGTACCTTGGGTTCCTTTCAGCTCTATAATCTATGATATTATAAGCTAATATTTTCATGCTGCTTTTAAGCTTGAAGTGAGTGATATGTGTGCATGTATATATGAAATTTTATTTGAGGTAGTAAGTTCCCCATCATTACAGGTCTTCTAGCAGAGACTGGATTACCATTTGTCAGAGATGTTGGTATCCTCTTCAGTTGTTGGTTAGACTTGGATGGCCTCTGAGTTCTCTTCAAATTCTGGGATTCTGAGAAATGTGCAGGAGAGCTCCAAAGTGCAGAGTATGAATATTTTAAAAGGGAGAGATAATGTCTAGTTTTGGGTGGGGATGGGGGGAGGGAGAGGAGAGGGATGGGTAAGGGAAGATTTCATAAAAGAAATGACACCTGAGCTGAGCCCTGAAAGAAGAAAAAGATTTGAAAAAGCATAAATGTAGGGTTCCCTCCAGGCATGCATAGCATGTTATATTCAGATGGGCAGATGAGAACAATTTGTTCCAATGGCCATGAAGGTGGCTGAGGCAGGCACTGTGGAGCAGTTAGAGTTTAGTCAGACATCAAAGATGCCAAGATCATCCGCTGCATCTCAGGCCATTGCTAGTTGCCCTGACTTTTGTCTTGCCACTGGACTTCAATGACTCTGGAAGAGAATGAGGCTGCGGACTTTGTGCAACTCTGCCTTACTTAAATCCAATTTTCATGCAAGTTACAACATTACCCCATGATGTCATTGGTCCTTTTCAAAAACGAAGTATAAACTACAGCAACATGATATATAAAGGCAAGGTGGAACATTGCAGTACTTACTTAGCCTCTGTTGAAGAATCTGACAGAGTAGGGCTCCCTCTCTGATCACAAGCCTATTATGAGGTGAGCAAACTCCACCTACCCAGAAAGAGAAACACTGGTTTCTCCCAAGTTGCCTTCGATGCCCAGGGAAAGAATGTCCAGCAGCAGGGAGGACCTTCTGAGTACATGGAATAGGTAATCACATTCGAAGTGAGACCAGAGTGGCACTGGGAAAGTCCACTTGATCTCCAATATCTCCTGGCCCCAGTGCAAGCTGTCTGCACTTCTGCCCTGCAAGGTTCATTCATTTGGGTTGAAAGCATGACTTTCTCCAGACATCACTTTTTAAACACATTAAAATGCAAAATAGACCAGGAAGAATAAATTGAATCACTAACACCTTTAGTATGAGTGGGTTGATCAGATTGCTTTCCTTCCTAACAAGATAAAACTTAGTTTAACAGTTTCACAAGAACCTGTCTTATCTTTCCAACTTGATTATAAACTCCTGGAGTGTGAGTTGCCTTGTATTCTTGTTGTATTCCCCTCCAGTATTTCGGACTATGCTATGTTTTCATATATTGAACAGCTGCTCAATAAATGCTAGCTGATTGGCTCAGGTAATGAACTGGAAAAAGAATGAATTACATGAACCAAGAAGAGGGGGTGTGACAGAATGAAAGAACCAGGAGGTTACAATGGAAAGAGCATCAGATTCAAAGTCAAGAAACTTGGGTACTGTGACTCTAATTAGCTATGTGACTTTGGGTGAGTCACTATCTCTCCAGACAGTGTTCTCATCTGTAAAATGGGATAGAAGGTGGTCCATGTTGTCTTTACAGTCTTTTCCAGGTCTAACGTTCTTTGGCTCTCTAGGCAAGGATATGGGATGAAATGGGTATGAGAGAGGCCAGAGGCTGGGAAAGAAAATCTTTCCCTGATTAATGATTGTGCCTAGACAGTGGCATCAGAGGACATGGATTCAAATCCTAGTTCCACCATTTTTTAAGTGTGTAGCCTTGGCAAGTCAATGTCTCTGGATGTCACTCGGTCTCTTCAAGGGGTTGTACCAGGTGGTCTCTAATGCCCCTTCCAATCCTAAACCTGGGATCTGTGCTTCATGGAATCCTGCCAGGTCTGCTGTTCTTCACCTCCCCTCCCCCCACCTGACTCCTTCCCCTCTCATCTGACATTCTCTACTGCCTTTCAGCCATGGACAATCCCGTGGATCTGGTTGCCACCAACATCACCCCAACAGAAGCTCTGCTACAGTGGAAATCACCTGTGGGTGAAGTGGAGAACTATGTCCTTGTACTAACACACTTCACAGGTAGGTTTCTTCAAACCTGGGTGAGTGAGCAGGTGTGCATGCCTGTGTGTGCACTGGGATTGGGTTGGGGGAATGGGGGAGGATATAGGATAACTATCCTGCTTGGAGACGAAGCCACGAGGCAGTGATGATAACTCTGAGAACAAGAGGAGGAAGAAGGCTTTCTCTACTCCTCCCCCCTGCCAAATATGGTGAAACATAACAGAAGGCACCCAAACCATAAAAGCAGTGATTTGTCAGTCTGTCTGTCAACAACCAGTTACTAAGCACCTACTATGTGCGAGGGACTGGGTTCACATAGATAGGCAAAAACACAGTCCCTACTCTCAACATGCAAATAACAACATATATAAAAGATATACACAGTGTAACTGGAAGGCAATCCTCAGGAGGAAGACCTGGGAAAGGCCACAGATAATGCTGGACCCGAAGTCAAAGGACCTGCATTCAAATCCTCCCTCTCTCACCTACTACCTGTGTATGTGACTGGAGGCCAGTCATTGAACCACTCTGGGGCTCAGTTTCCTCATCTGTGGTGAAGGGGGTTAGACTAGATGATCTCTAAGGCTCCTTCCAGCTCGAGGCTTATATCTTATGATCTAGCAATATTGCCTGGGTTTCAAGTGGGCCTCTCCTGAGCAGGGATTCCTTATTCAGTTCATATCCATATGCACTTCATTTCAGTTGCCGGGGAAACAATCCTAGTGGATGGAATCAATGAAGAGTACCAGCTTGTGGACCTGCTTCCTAATACTCACTACACAATCACCATGTACGCCACCAATGGACCACTTACCAGCAGTACCATCGACACCAACTTCACCACCCGTAAGTACCTAATCATTGACCTAATGTCCCAAAGGGTGCACCTCTATGTTAGAAATTATATGTTCCAATATGTTAGACTAGATAAAGGCCTTAAGTCCATGCATCTTAGGGTAGTATTATGAAGGAAAAAGAATCTGAGACAGCTGAGTGGCATCATGGATAGAGCACCGGACTTGGAGGCAAGAAGACCTGAGTTCAACATTTACAAGCTGTGTGAATGAATAAATGAATGAATGAATGAGTGAATGAAAAAAGACATTTATTAAATGCTTATTACTGTATATACGAAGCATCGTACTAAGTGCTGGGGATAGAAAAAAACAAACAGAAAAATCAAGGCATTTCCTGCTTTCAAGGAGCTCACATTCTAATACGGAGACAATACATGGAAGCTTTTAGCTGCAAGCCAGATGGCAAGGTCCCATGGTGTGTAGGGAGCCACAACAAAGTGGATGGTAATGAAATAAATGCCTCTTCTTTACTCTCATTTTCAGTGACAAAATCCTATCAGTTTCTGGCATTGAATCATTTGACAAGGACTTTGGTGGCAAAACTTTCTTTGCCGGGCTGTTGGTTATTGTCTCTCCTTCATTTTTTGAAGAGGACCAATGACATCATGGGCTGATACGTTGACTTGCCCAGTGAATTGGATTTAAGTGAGGCAGAGCTGCACAAAGTCATTGGCCTCACTCTCTTGATTATCAGACGGCATCTCCCAGACTATATCTGGGCAAGTCATTTCAACTCTCTTAGCCTGAGCATCATTATCTGCAAAATGGGAGTAATAATAGCACCCACTTCACAGGATTGTTGTGAAGATCAGAATGAGATAATGTGCAAAAGTCTCATCAAATCTGGAAGCACTATAGAAATGCTAGTTATTATTAGTAGTGTTTTTAAATAAGCTGATGTGGGGACAAAGGAAGACCATTTAGAATGCAAATATCCATGGAAAGACATAAGCTCAGAGGTCATTGGACATCTTGGTTCTGAGATTTAAAAAATAAAAATATTTTGAAAGGATTTGAGGGCTGAGCAAATTGGTTTCATTCATTCATCCATCCAATGACTGTTTATTAGAAACCTGTGATGTGATGGTTGCCCTGTGAATTTTATTTTTATACAACATTGTGATAGCAACCAAGAGAGATCTGAGGATAATTAAAACACAATTCCATCTCAAACAGAGCTAACAGTTTTTGTCTTTGTGTTCCCAAAGCTTAGCATAGTTCTTGCCACACAGTAGGTACCAAATAAATGTTTGTTGAGTTGACTTGAATCAAATCGAATCTAGCAGTGAGGCTATAACACACAAATAGCACATACCATAGAATAAATGTCATCAATACAGAGAAGCGACTATGAAAAGTGTTTCAGCCCTGTAAAAGAGACAAAGCATTGACTGAGTGCCACTTGTTAAGACAGTTTTCCAGCTTCAGGTCTCTGATGTGTTCCTTGGCTTTTGATTTAGTACAAGTCTCAGAGACTGGAGGCACTGGGGTCAGGTGCTAGGGGACTTTCTCTAACAGTGGAATGATGAGGCACTGAAGGATAGAAACTAGTCCAATAATCTACTGGGTTACAACAAAGCAACTGCAAACTGCCACTTATCTACCTGAGTGAGTCACAGGGGCCAGTGAAAGCAAGCTTCAGCTCTCAGCAAATCAGAAGAAAATCTATTTTAACTGCTTCCTCTCATGCCAGGGCTTACACAGCAAGGTTTGATAGAAAGGGTCGGGTTAGGGATCCAGAAGAGCCAGATGGATGTCAGAGGTCTGGACAGGAAGATATCACATCCACAAGACAGTTTGTTAGGGAGCAGCTGGTATAAGCGTACTACAAAATCCAGGTGAGGCATCAGACCAGAGGTCAGAAGATCTACACAGGCAAAGAAGACCAAGCAGGTACCAGGGGGGTTTGTGGGGGCCTGTGGCAGCACCAACCAATGGTTTTGTATATTGCCACCTACTCCCTGGAATCCATGCCGCACTGATTTGGGTTTCCCCACAAATTCCAGCTAGACCCATCATACCACCCCGATTGTTTTAACACAACTTCCTTCATAGATAGTTGATTTGAATATTCTAATGGAGGAACAAAAGAGAGATGATGGTTCATGATCCGGGAGGGGGGGTGGGGGAGGATGTACCTGCAGAGTAGTATGATAGAGGAAGTCCAGACAGCAGGAAGGAGAACCAGAAGAGGACTGAAGACATGGCCGGGCTGGGCACTTTCCTCAAAATGAAAGACCTTGACATGAGTATGCTGGAGCCAGCTTACAGTGGCTTGGGAGAGCCAGTTGTTAAATTTTTAATGTGAGCATTAACACCTTCAAAATCACTGCACACTATAAATCAAGCTTGACTTTTGTTTTGTTGACTGTCTAGACTTAAGAAAGTGATGGAGAATATACCAGTTCTGCAGATTAAACTCAAAAGCGCATCATGTGTAATTTTTTTTTCAGAGAGCCAATTGTTAAGCATTATCCAGCAAACCATTGCAGTTATCTAATGTCTTTTGAAGTAGTAGTTCGTTATGAACAAACTCTTTCCCTGCCCATTAAGGAACAGGGTCAGAGAATGGGCAAAACTCAGCCTATGAGTACACGCCAAGTACACAAATGGAAATAATGAAGAGTATGAGGGCTTGTGGCCTAACTGCTCTTGAGAGTTTCTCTCTCTCTCTCTCTCTCTCTCTCTCTCTCTCTCTCTCTCTCTCTCTCTCTCTCTCTCTCTCTCTCTCTCTCTCTCTCTCTCTCTCTCTCTCTCTTTCTCTCTCTCCTTTACAGTTCTGGATCCCCCCACAAACCTGACTGCCAGTGAGGTCACCAGACAGAGTGCCCTGATTTCCTGGCAGCCTCCTGTGGCAGACATTGAGAACTACATCTTAACCTATAAATCCAACGATGGAAGCCGGAAGGTGAGTTGTGGATAAAGGCTGAGTCCAATCATGCCAATCACTCAGGAGTGAAGGGTCAAAAGAATTAGGGGAGAACACACACCAGAAAGAAAGGGCTAGGCTTCAGCCATTTTTCACCAATTTGGTCAAGCCAAGGTAAACTACATGACACATAAATCGTGGGATTTAGAGCTTGAAAGGCCATTAGGGATCCTATGGTCAAACCCCTTTATTTTACACGTGGGGAAGCCCCTGAGTTTTCTTATTATGGTCACAAAGTCTGTGTCTACACATCACACAATAAACATGAGATTCAGCAAATTTTTGGTAAATATCTTCAATGTTGATGGTTCTAGATAATTCAGATCTCACATAGAAAACTTGAGAATGGGTAGGGCCATCCCAGAGAGACTAAGGGATTCCTAGACAGCCCTTAGCATGGGTTCTCCACCATGGTCTAAATGGTTCAGGAAGTAATGAAAAACTTAAATTGCATTTGTTCTTAATTATACCCCAGATAGAAGTGGAGTAACGTTTCTGACTCCGTCTTCCCCAGACAGAGTAGAACTGCCTTTCCATCTTTTATGATGCCAGCTTGACCACGTCTCTGTGAACAATGACTTCCTTTTGTCCTTTTCTTTTGATGTCATGCAGGAGTTGATTGTGGATGCAGAAGACACTTGGATCCGTCTGGAGGGACTTTCTGAGAACTCTGAATATACAGTGCTCTTGCAGTCAGCCCAGGATACTATTCACAGTGTGATCACCTCTGCTAGCTTCACCACAGGTGAGGAAATGATTGGGGCTTTCACACATTCACTTCCCCACACATACCCCCAAATAGCAACATGGTACCTTATCATCTTGGCTGAGTCCCGGCCCTCAGTGAAGCTCCTGAAGGAAGCTGAGCTGCCTCTTCCTGCCAAGGAACTTATTTCTTCTAGTTCTGCCTTTGCTCCACCAGGAGCCCTGCAAACATATTCACTTTGACTAAAGATATGGTAAGCTACTGAAGACTTCCTCTGTGGCCAACTTCAAGGAAGGACACCAAGTGAAGCCAATTTCTTCTTCCAAAAGGCTTTTCCACCAAAGACCATCCTTTCCATCTTGGTCCACACATCCTTGCCTTCATAGACTTTTCATCTATTCTTCCCTCTGTCTCAGAGACCACACAAAGCTGGGACATGTCCTATAAATTAATGGATGAGTGAGCGAATGAATAATAATAGCTAGCTAACATTTATGTAGCTTTAAAATTTTCAAAGTATCTTACAAATGCTATCTCATTTTCTCCTTACAACAATCATGGGAAGTAGGTGCTATTATTACTTCCATTTTTACAGATGAGGAAACTAAGACAAACAAAAATTAAGTGACTTGCATAGGGTAATGCAGCTAGCAAGTGACTGAGATAAGATTCAAACTCTGGTCCCCTATCTATTGCATCACCTAACTTTCTTGCAAATAATATAATAAATAGGCAAGTTAATTTATTAAGCAGTTGCTATGTACTGAATGTTGTGCTTGAGTTCTGGTGATATAAATGCAAAAAGCAAGACATCCTTTTCCTTCAAAAAGTTTACATTCTAACATAGAGCTAGTGGAGTGGTAGCCTGAGAGAGAGGTCTTTTTGTCTAGGAAAGAAACCGTGGGGATAGTGAGGAGGGCCATAGTCAGAATGTGTGCATGATGCCAGTTTCTACCATCTCCAGAGCTGATTGTTAACTTTTCAGTGTGAGCATTTACACTTTGAAAATCAGCAAATGCTACAAATCAGGGCTTGTTTTCTGTTTTCTTGATGGTCTAGACTTTAAAAAGTGATGGAGAAAATGTTAGTAATGCAGATTAAACTTAAAAGTATGTAATGCATTTTTTTTTGAGAATTGGTTGTTAAACATTTACCAGCACACCCTTGGCCATAGGACAACTGATAGATATATCTTTTCCAGAAATGGTGGTGTTGACTTGATTGTTTTATTCAGAGTTAGAGGTGGAAAACAGAAGAAGGAGAGGGAAAGTAAGCATGCACAGCAATTCAGCATGAAGATGGCCAGAGAACAGTAGAATTATAGGGTCAGGGTTGATCTATAAAAGAAGGTCCTGTCCTAGTCTCCAGGATGTAGATTATCATGATCATGTCCAGTTCTGAGTCCTGTCCCTGCTACATAGGATTCATGTGTGTGCATGTGCACATGTGTATTAGTGTACATCCAACATGCAGATCTAGGATATTTATTTCCTTACGTGCATATGTACATGTAACTTTATCTACACCATCTTTCTTGTTGGGCTAGTTTCTTTTCTTAAGTTGCCGTCTTCATGTTGCTACAGAGAGGTGGGTAAAAGCCCCCACATCCACATTCAGTTTATTAAATTGGGTCTAGATCAAGAGTTAGGTCATGAAAGTGAGGTTGGAAGGCAGAGCAGCATGTTTACCAAGTAATGGGTAGCAAGTGCCCCGCCCCCTCTTAAGGTGCTAAAGCCTTCACACCCTTTCAAATTGCTTAAAAAATCTAGAAAATTGATAGCCTGCCTGAGCTCTGGGTTCAAAATCTTCCCTACATTGTCCCACTACAAGGAAAGAATCCTTCAAAGTCCTTATTCCAAGTCACTTTTGGAGATTCCCAACCAAAGACCTAGGGATTATGAAGAGTTAATTGGAAAGAGACTAGAGGCAGAGCAACTATTTAGAGATTGTTAAAGAGTAAAAGTGAAAAGCAGTAAATGCCTGGGTCAAGGTGGATATAGTGGAAATGCAAAGGAGGGTGGAGAAGAAAGAGATAACCTGGAGGTAGGATCAGTTAACTGCACTTAGCTACTGATTAAAAGTGATGTAAAAGGGAAGAGTCAAAGATGACTTTAGAATGGGTTGATCCATTCACATGGCTTCCACCCTAGTTCTGTCCTTATCATCTCTTTTCTTGACAATTGTTGTTGTTCAGTTGTTTTTCAGTCATGTTTGACTCTTTGTGACCCCATTTGGGGTTTTCTTGTCAAAGTTACTGAAGTGATTTGCCATTTCTTCTCCAACCCATTTTACAGATGAGGAAACTAAAGCAAACAGGGTTAAGTGACTTACCCAAGGTTACACAGCTAATAAATGTCTGAGTCTATGTTTGAACTCAGATCTTCCTGACTCATTATCTCTAGGATCAAAAACTCTCTTCCCTTCCTTTTTCTTCTTATCCTATCCTTCCCCCTTCCCTTGCCTTCCATTCTCTTTCTTCCCCTTCTCTTCATATTTAAAATCCTTCACAATCTAATCCCAATCTCCCTTTCCAGTCTTGTTCCACATCACTTCCCTACATATGTTCTACTGTCTAGCCAAAGTGGCCTCCTTCCATTGCACTCCATCTCTTGTCTCCATTATCTTTGCCCTGGTTCTCACACATACCTGGAACTCCCTCCTCATCACTATCTCTTAGAGTCCCTCCTACCTTTCAAGGTTCAGCTTAAGTACCACTTTCAACAGGAAGCCTTCCCTGACCCTCATAGTTTCTAGCTCTTCTCTACCCCTTTCCCTCCCATAAAAAAAAAGCAATGATTGCTTTGTAATCATTTTGTATATATTCAGTGTATACTTCTATGTGTTCATGTTGCTTCCTTATAAGAATGTTGGCTTCTTGAGATCAGAGACTTTTATCCCCAAGGACTAACATAGTACTTGGTATATAGTACAAAAGGGTGCCTAATAAACGCTTGTTGATTAATTGATTGGTTTAGGAGGCTTAGATGGGCTTTGAAGTCTCTTCCAGTTCTGATATTTTGAAATTTTGTGACTTGGATTTTTTAATGAAATGAATCACGACTTAAAGAGAATTATTTCCCTTAAAAAAATAGATGGCAAGTACTTGAAAGAAACTCTATCTGCATATTTATTAGACACAAACTTATAATTTCAGCCCCAAAAAATGCACAAATTTCATTGCTAGCTCTATACAGTATGAGCCTTTAATTCATGTCTTGGTAATGCTACAGCTAGTTGTCATGAGCATTATGATAATATCACAGAACGTTTCTGTCTTTTGGTGACATCTTGCATCCAGAGAGAGTCTGCAACCTGCCAGCTAAAATAAAAGTCAGGAACCACTTAGCTGCTCCTTCTGGGGTGAAGCCTAGGCCCTCACCATGTGCAAACATACTAATATCTGAGGCAGGGCTATAACTAGGATGGGGTGATTAGGAAATTTAGGGTATTGAGATTTAGACAGTGCTGATATCACTTAAGAGTCTTTCAGTGGAAAACAACAACAACAACCCCTAGAGCTTAATAGCGAGAAGTAGGTTTCCTTCTTTGGCAGCCATATCCCCAGATAAGCTCCTCCCCAGCCCTGCTCTGTGTTGTCCCTTCTCCACCTCAGCAGTTACATCTTAGTGTCTTGGGGTCACCACAGCCCCACCACCACTCTGCAGAGTGCACATTTCCTGCTGCTTGCCCTCAGTACAAAAAAACTGTACTGTAAGTGATTGTCATTTACATCATAGTGTGAATGAGTTTCAAATATTTTTTCTGAGACTGGGTTTTGATGGAGGTCAAAGAAGGAGAACATAAAAGCACTGAGTCCCTGAGGCAAGGCTTGGGAAAACATCAAGAAAGGGAAAGGACAGAAAAGGGCAAAGCCTGGGAAGTTATCGCCTTCTTTAGCCACATCGCCTAGAGCCAGCATCGAACAAGTGGTGATCTTTTGTTGCCTAGGAAATATGGGTCTAGGTGGTAAAGAAGGTCAAAAATTTTTGAGTGGCGGGTAATGGAGTTGCTGAGTACTCGTTGATTTTAATGGAGATCGCCTGCACAACCTAACGCCTTCCAAAATACTGACACAGAAAAAGAGCCTAAAATTGGACCCCCAAGAGAGAGAAGGATCCATCACCTGGCAGGAAAAAAAAAAGATAAGACAGTTGTTTTAAGCACACTCTTTGTGGCTGATTTAAGAAATCTGGGATTTTCTCCAAGAAGAAAAAGGGGGGGGGGGGAAACATGTTACAAAAACTTCTTTTGATCAAGATGTCTCCCCTTTCTATTTTCCAGCCATACAATGTACAACTATTTCATTCCTTCCATCATGTTAATAGCTGCCTGTCCTGTTGTCTCCGGTGTTTGCACAAGACTCAGGGGGGAATTATATACAAGTAGTACGGAAGGGGAAAAAATATAGATACATTATTTATAATTTACTGTCGCCTGAAATTTCATCCAAGGTCTACTTGTCTTTTAAAGACATGAATATAAATGAGGAAACAAATATTCCCCACAGAGCAACAGGGCTTGGTGAAATGATCATCTTCAAGGCAGTTCCTTTTGTCTGACTTAATGCTATAAGAAGCAAACAAGGCTTTCGCTAAAAACCCATCTTTAGAGACCTATGGAGATGATAAAAATGGGTTATCTTGACCTTGGGGTTAAATGAAGACATTTGGTTGTGGATGTGCCCAGAGATGGACAAGCATCTCTCTTGCCATCTTCAAGTAGGGGCCCCTCAGGTCCTTTGTCCATTTGGTGCATGCAAAGTTGTCCCAGATGCACAGCTGTAATGTCCAGGAGGCTCCCTTTAGTGAGGGTTTCTGTTTTTAAAGCTATGAACAATTAGCAAGCTCTGGGTCCTGGCTGGAAAATATCTTGCAAATTCATATACTTAGCAGAAATATCCTAGTGAGGAAAAGTGGGTATGGAGAGTGACCCCTCAGAGTAGATGATCATTCATTCAACATTATTATCTCTCTGCTCAAGGTGAGATTTTGTTTAAAAGGCAAAGGGAAGAGAAAGCTTGAATGGGGGATGAGGGGGTGGAGAGGTGATGATTTCCTTTCTGCCTTATTATTAATGGCTAGTTTAAGCAGATTTGATCAAGATAAAAGCACATTTCCCCTCAGCACCCTCAGAGAGGAGGGAGACCTCTCTCACTCTGTTCTCTCCTTAGGGTGAGACCTATGGCTAATAAAATTGAAGCCACTTTTATAGTCTGCCCCTCACACATATAAAATACACAGACAGAGAGATGGACAATATTGAGAATAATAATTGTGACAATAGGCAAAATCCACCAAAAAGTGAGCAATGCTCAACTGCAATACCTCCATATTTGTCCAGTATCACTAGGGACTGAGCTGTTCCATTTGAGAGAAAATTCTGGATACTTAAAGCTTCCCTCTCCTTTGTTCATCAAAACTTCAATAAATTTGAACTTTATTCTATAAAGATTGGTTGAGGAAATGGGAATACATAAGCCTGGAGAAGGGAAGATGTGGGAGAGGGTCAGTATTTGTTAGTCGGCTTCAAGTAGGTGAAGGGCTGTCCTATGGAAGAGGATCCTGTTCTGCTTGGTCCTAAATGGCAGGACACGGAAGTGTTAGGGGAAGCTGAAAAGAAATAGATTCAAGTTTAATGCCAGGAAAAACTTCCTAAGCAGTCCAGCTGCCCGAAAGTGGAATGAACTACTTGGGGATAGAAAGTTCAGTTCCCTCTATGGAGTCATTCCCAGAAAGGTCAGATGGACACTTTTACTTAGGATGGTTATACAGGGTATTCCTGTGTATTAGTTGGACTAAATTGTCCTGAGATACTTTAAAATTCTGAGATACTTTATCCTATGGGGTAATTAGGTGGTACAGTTCGGGCTTGGAGTCAGGAAGACCTGAGTTCGAATGTAGCCTCAGATGCTTACTAGCTGTATGACCCTAGGCATGTCACTTAACCTCTGTCTGCCTCAGTGTCCTCAACTATAAAATGGGGATCATAATATCATCTACTTCTCAGGTTTGTTGTGAGAATCAAATGAGATATTCTTTGTTCGTTTGTTTTTGTTTTTGCTAGGCAATAGGGTTAAGTAACTTGCCCAGGGTCACGTAGCTAGTAAGTGTTATGTGTCTGAGGCCAGATTTGAACTCAGGTCCTCCTGAATTCAGGGCCAGTGCTCTATTCCGTGTGCCACCTAATTGCCTCCGAGATATTCTTTGAAAAGCACTTTGCAAACCTAGCACTATATAGATGCTATTATTATTGATTGTATTATTAATTAAATTGCATTAGTAAGCACTATATAAATGCTAGCTACTGTTATTGTTAATTACATTACTTATTAACTACATTATCTTATCAAGAACTATGTAAATGCTAGCTAATCGTTATTGTTGGTTATATTACTCCTGTGATCTTGGTTAAAATAATAGGAATGTAGCTAGCATTTATAGATCACTTTAAATTTATAAAGCACTTTTCATATAAGATCCCATCTGATCTTTACAAACAACCCTGTGAAATAGAAGCCATTATTATACCTGTTTTAAAGATGAGAAAATTAAGACTCAGAAGTTAAATGACTTTGTCAGGGAAATACATCTAGCAATTCCTGAGGCAATATTTGAACCTAGATGCTTCTGACTACAAGTCTAGCACCCTATCCATTATATCACAGTGTCTTGAGCGAGGACAGTCACCTCTCTACCTGTCTTGATGAGGAGGTTGTACCATTAAACAGCTGATTCACCCAAGGTCATAAGTGGAGGAAGGGACCAATTTGGAAACAGCGCTAGTTTTCTCTCTCCTTTGTTCTCTCCTCTGATTCATTGCTGTCCTTAGAACACCCTCTGGATGTTCTACATAAAGACATTTCTGAGCAGTTCTTCCAGTGGATGCATCAACACTATCAATAATACAATTACCTTGGGAAACATTTAACACGAGACGTTTCAGGGCCCTGATCATTGGAGGTTGTTCCTGTCCTAACTCCCATAATAACTATATTTAAGCTAAAACATTTCCTTTCCAAAAGTTTTCCTAGCCCAGAACTCTCATCACACCAAAAGAGAGAGAGTAACTCCTAATTTTCTAGCGAATCTGGTAGCTTTCTTTGTATGTATAATTATCACGATTGCCTCTGTAGATCCTAAGAGGGGATGCCAGTGTGCAATAGTGATGAGGATACCGGTCTTGCAGACAGAAGGCTTGTGTTTCAGGGCATTTTCCAACATCAGCTGCTGCTTCTGCCCGTGTTATTTCCTTCATGAATTGAAACTCCTGAAAGTAAAGCATAACAGAAAAGAAAAGAAAAAAGGATAATGGGACAAGATCCATAAAAGCAATAACGGAAAAAACTGGTTAGAAGAGGAAGCTCAAAATTTATACTTCAGAAACTTTAATTCCAAGAACACAAAAAAGGAATAAACAAGGCTATAGACCATGAATTGAGAATAAAATTTCAGTATAGACAAGAAGGAAAGAGAATTAATGAAGAGAACAAAGAAATTTTTAGAAAAAGGAACAGGGAAAAAAACTAAAAGACAACAGAAGTTGGAGAGGAGGTGAGAAAGGTTGTAAAGTGCTTAACATAGTCTCTGGCACATGGTAAGTCCTATATAAATGTTAGTTATTATTATTATTATTATATGGGATTCAGGAGAAGGTAGAGGGGAAGATAATCTGTAGGAATGGAGTTGCATCACAGTAGCTTAACTAAGTTAAGGGATCAGGTATTATATTTGCAAATGAAAGAGTTAAAATATTGTTTTAATTAAAACCCCCAGTACTAAAGGCACAAATAGAGGAAAACACATACCTAATTTTGTAACTTTTTATGTGAATGGGATAACAATTCAATAAAAATCAAAGACAGCAGATGAATGGATCAGAGAATAAAACTCCAGAAACTTATTTACAAGAAATGCACCTAAAAAAAAATAAAGCAGAGACACATAGAATCAAAATGAGATACTTGAGCAAAATTTATTATGTGAATTAAAGTAGTAGTCATGCTATCAAACAAAGCCAAAATAAAAGTTCACAATATCACTAAAGATAAACAAGAAAATTACATTATTAAAGGAACCATAGACAGTGAGCCAATATCAATATTAAATATATGTACCAAATGACATAGCATCTATATTTATCACATAAAAATTAACTAAAATATAAAAAAACACAATAAGAGTAGAAGACTTTAATGTTTCTCCCTCAGAGTTTGAAAAATTTAAAAGAGAGATAAATGAAAGTTAAATTACAGAACTGAATAAACTAAGAATTTAGGGCTTTAAAAAAAACTTATGGAGCCTTCTGAATGGGACTACTTGAGATTATACATATCTAGTAGCTATATGCAGCTTTTATGAAAATAGACCACATATTAAGGCACAAAAAAATTGCAAATATATCTAATAAAAAGCAGAACCAACAAATATGTCCTTTACTCACTATAATGTAACAAAAATAGCAATCAATTCAGAAAGCAAAAGCCACAGACCAAGATGAGTGGGGTGAAGGAAAAAAAATCAGAAAAATAATTAATAACTACATAAATAATAATGATGAGATAACAAATACAGATTTCTTAGATACAATGGAGGCAGTACTCAGAGTAAGAATGTGGTCCCTCCAAGCATATACTAAGAAAAAGGAAGAAAGAAAAAGAGAGAATTAATAAAGTGAATATGCAATTGTTAAAATGAGAAAGCCAGCAAATAAACAAACCTAAAATAACCACAAAGGAGGAGATCTTGAATGGTAGAGGAGACATGAATAAACTAGAAATCAAAAAGACCATGGAACTGATACATAAAACTAAAAACTGTTCCTTGAAAAGACTGACAAAAATGGTAAAATTATAGTCAGTATGCATAAAAAGAAGAGGTTGAAAAATCAAATGAATGTAATCAAAAATGAATGTGGTGAAATCATAGCAAATGCAGAAGGAATGAAAGGAGTCTTCCAAACCTACTATTCACAGTTGTATAATTCAAAAGAAATATGGATTTATCTAAAAAAATTATAAAATGCCAAATTAACAGAACACCAAATAAAGATATTAAATAATCCAGTACCATAAAAGTAAATTGAACTAGCTATAAGGAAACTACCACACACACAAAAAAAATCCCAGGTCCAAATGGATTTATAAGTTAATTTTATCTAACTTTTAAAGAACAATTATTTCCTGTACTGCACAAATTATCCTCAAAAATTAAGAAAGAAACCCTTCTACCAAACTCCTTCTTGAGACAAACATAATCACAATACTCAAACTACTGTGAATGTACTTTGTCAAAGGCCTTTTCTGCATACAGTCAAGTGGTATTGTTTGTTTTTGGTTTTAATATGATGTTAATTGTTTTCCTAATGTTGAACTATCCCTGAATCCCTCCTACTATAAATTCAATTTCATCATAGTTAATGACTTGTGTACAACTTTCTATAATCTTTTTGCCAGGATTTTATTCAACATTTTTGAATTGATATTCACTAGTAATATTGATATATAGTTACTTTCCTATTTGCTGATGACATGATGGCTTATTTTAAAATTCCTAGAGAATCAATGAAGAAACTGAAACAATTTAACAATTTCAACAATGTTGCAAGCTACAAAATATAACCACAGCAAAAGACCTATGTTTCGTTTCTGTCTCTCATGTGCTCTCTCTGTGTAACAACAGACAAGTCACTTAATTTCTCTGAGCCTCAGTTTCTTCATCCATAAAACAGGGATAATAATATTATACCACCTACCTCCTAGCTTGTTGTAAAGAAACCATTTTATAAACCTTAAGGTACTTTACAAATGAAAGTTCTTATCATTCAATCAGTTAACAAAGTGTCCCTTTCTATCCATATGGACAAGATGAAGATATGGACTAGATTACAGTGTAGCTAGGATGATATGGAACTTTTAGTTGAATGACCAGACCCAAAGAGATCATTGGTGGATCAGTGTTGACTTAGAGAGAAATCTCAAGCAGTAATAATCCAGAGATCAATTCTTGGCTATACATTATTCAACATTTTCATCAATGACTTAAAGTCATAAAAGACATAATTATCACATTTGCAGATAACATGAAACTGGGAGAAATAGTTGTCTTATTGAATAGCAGAGTCAGGATCTAAATAGATCTGAACAGACTAGAATTATGGGACAAATCTAATAAAATGAAATTTAAAGGGATGCCTTTGAGTTTATAGGGCACCTAGGTGGTGTTATGGTGGATAGAGCACTGGGTCTGGAATCAGGAAGACCTGAATTCAAATCCAGCCTCAGACACTTACTAGCTGTATGACCCTGGGCAAGTCACTTCGTTCTGTTTACCTGAGTTTCCTCATCTGTAAAACAAGCTAGAGAAGGAAATGGCAAACTACTTTTTTTTTTACTATCTTTGCCAAGAAAACCCCAAACGGGGTCACAAAGAGTCAGAGAAAGAGTCAGAACAACAGGAACAACAAAATATGAGATTGTATACTGGGATTCAAAAAATCAACTTCACAAGCAAAAGATGGGAAAGCTATGATAAGACAACAAAATTACAAAAAGGATCTGGGGGTTTTAGTGGAATACAAACTTACTACAAGTCCACAGTATGATGTGGTAGACAAAAAAAAAGGTAGTGTCCAGAGTAAAGCAGATAGAAATTCTACTTTACCCTGGTCATACCATACCTGAACTACCGTGTTTACTTTTTAAAATCACATTTTAGAAATGACACTGATAAACCACAATCTGTCCAGAGGAGGGCATCAGGGATAGTGAGGGGCCTAATGTCATAAGAGGATTGAAGGAATTAAGGATTTTTACTCTAGAAAAGAGAAACATTTTTTTTAGAAAAAAAAAAGGAAGGTCACGTGGAAGTTGGATTAAACCAATTCTATTTGGTCCTAGAGGGCTAAAGTAGAAGCAGTGGGTAGACACTTTTAGACTTGTAATCAGGCAAAACATCCAGACTTTTAGAACTGCTTCCTAGAGGTCCTCCCACTGAACACAGGATACTTTTGAGAGATTCTTCCTGTATAGGTTTGATTAGATGGTCTTTGGCTCCAATTCTAAGATTCTAGATTCAGTGATACTATAAACTATATTGATTGGAATTAATCATTCTACAAGGGAAAAATAACCACCTGATATATTTAACACTCTTCAGTCCAAGTGATCACAGTTTGAATCTTTTTCATCATGGGAATCAGTGCCATCAGTTACTCATGAAAGTCTTCATTACTACTCTCCAATTTCTTCCTTTCCCTGAAGCTATATTTGTTAGTTATTCCAACAACTAGAGAGCTATGGCTCCCTCTCCATTTGGTTTTTAGGAAAAATTTATTGACATAATTGGCTGGTCTCACTGAAAAACAATTGGTAGTTCTGATCTTCTTTAAATAATGTGTATCTTGATATGAAGGTAACAAGAATAATTTTAATACATTTCAGCAATACCCTTTTTGAAGAATCCCCTTTTTTTTTTAAAGTGGCATTTTATTTAATTATTTTAAAATATTTGTATAGAAAACAACTCTGGTCTCCTTAAGAAGTCAGGTTGTAAAATGAAGAAATTATTCACCAAATGGGAAGAGACTCTGGGTTAATGATAAAGAGTGATATGCAAATGAAAGGATGGTGTTTTCTACCATTTTGAGAAAGGTCATTCAAAAACATGTGGCAGAAAAAGTAACAGATAGTAAGCCTGGGATGGCATTGGCAGGAAAATATTCGGACCTATTAGTGATCATAGATTAATAGGAAGGTGTGGAGCAGATGAAGCAGAGGAATCCTGCCTTGAACACTTATTAGCTTAGCTGGCCACTGGCAAGTCAAGTAACCTCTCTCAGCCTCAGTTTCCTCATGTGTAAAATGGCAATAATAATAGCACCTCCCTTACAGGGCTGTTGGCAGGATCAAATGAAAAATTAAATGAAAAGCACTTGGTAAACTTTAAAGTTTAAATAAATATTAGCTATTATAATTGAGAGGCAATGTGGCATAGTTGCTAAAGAGCTTAGCCTCAAAACAAAGGAGACAGAGGTTGTTGCTGAACCTCAAATGATCTGTTATTTGTTTGTCCTTGGTCTGGAAGAGGACCATGACATCAGGGAGGTGATGCCATGACTTGCAAGTGGATTGGATTTAAGTGAGGGAGGGCTGTGCAAAGTCACCAGTCTCACTTTCTCCCCCTGAACCACCTGGGTCCAGTGGCAAGATATGGATCAAAATGACTGGAGATGGCTCTGGATGCAGTGGGAGAACTTGGCCTTTTTAAGCTAAGGTCTTTAAGAGGTCTCAGTCTGACAGAGGCAATGCCCCATTCGGTGATTAAGGCTAGGTAAGAAATGTGGCAGAGAATGATCTCTTTTACCTAGTCAAAGAAAAAAATCAATCTGAGAGGGGAAGTCCCTCAGGGTTTCTGGCCAAAACAGAAACAATTGGAATTTACTTCATTCTGAGGCAATCAAGACCCAAACAATGACCAAGTGGGGCTTGACTTGGGACCAATTGTTGGCCAATTAATGAGAGCTAGAGTGATTTGGGTTGAAGGCATGGTCCTTAAAAAAGAAATGTAGCCTGCAAACCCAAGATATCTTGGGAGGTTTCCTTTGGGCAGATTACCCTTATTATACCTTATGTGGACAGAGGAAAGGGAGGGGAAGGGAATGGAAGGGAAGGGAAGAAACAGAGAGACAGAGAGGAAGGAAGGAAGGAAGGAAGGAAGGAAGGAAGGAAGGAAGGAAGGAAGGAAGGAAGCAAGGAAGGAAGGAGGAAGGAAGGAAGGAAGGAAGGAAGGAAGGAAGGAAGGAAAAAGAAGGAGGAAGAAAATAAGGAGGGAAGGAAGGAAGGAAGAGAGAGAGAGAGAGAGAGAGAGAGAGAGAGAGAGAGAGAAGTAGTTTCCTCACCTCAGAATTCCATAGACCAGG